TACGCCGGTGGGTGCTCTGGAAGTACCTGGCCGACTTTTTCCCTATCCGATTAGTGAAGACGGCCGAGCTGGACCCGAACCGCAACTACATATTCGGCTACCACCCGCATGGCATCATGGGTTTCGGTGCATTCGTCAACTTCGCCACCGAAGCAACCGGCTTCAGCAGCAAGTTCCCGGGCATCACCTCTCGTCTGTGCACTTTGGTTGGCCAGTTTTGGTTCCCTCTTCGACGCGAGTACATCATATCGGCCGGTACGAAAAGAATTCGAAGGCGGCGATCTTTGCTGGCGATCGGCTTGCTTGTAGTTTTCTTGCTCAGTAGTGATCGTCTGGCTTGGGAGGGGGTGACTGAAAAATTCGTTTTACGTTGTTTGCTTTTAGTAGAATCATTTTGTAAAGTTTCCGTAGTGCTTTTCAAAAATATTAGGTGTTCTTCCAAAGGAAGTTTCCAGGTGATATAGGCATTGATTTTACATTAAAGTTGATACATATTAGTTACGCTCTATTGTTTCATTTTATTGTTTAAGTTGTTTAATGCGGATTCATGGAGTGCGCGACCTCCGTTGAGTTCGGAGCAAGATCCGCAACGTTCGTGCATCTGAAAATGGCAAGTCACCCGTGGAGTAGGTCAAACTTGGTGTGGTTACTTAATGGATGACAAGCTTTAGTTTGGTGCCGAAATCGTGGCGTTTGTTCGTCGCGTCTCTGTTAGTGTTAGCGTTACGGCATGGTTGCAGACAATGAGAGATAAGTACTTGAATGATTCATGGTTCAGGGCACCAAACACTGCAGATGGTACAACACTTTATTGCCGAGGCATTTCGCTACGTAGACCGTAGCATCACCAGGATTGGGCAAAGTACAAATGAATACTTGAAGGCAGAGGTCCAACAAGCGAACAGTACGTTACAACCAAACGGCCGTAGTGTTAACAGTTCGTTGTTAAACCGAACGGCCCGAGTGTTAACCAACATACCAGTGTAGATTTCTCATCAAAACGATCTTAGCAATTTTGCAGTCGTCCCCCAGCTTTTGCTAATAGCCACAGAAGATGTGTTCATTACATCCGGATTTTCTTTGCCGGTAGCAAGGATTCCTTTATCAATAGCCCTAATTTAGATTTGTGTTTGTCAATACTGGACACTTTGGTCCGACTGAAAGAATGTCCTTCCGTAATCGAATGTTGGGCGATACCGGAACTATCAGCCTATCCAAGGCGGACCGCAGAAAGGTGCTCTTTTATGCTGATGTTCAATTTTTGGTTGGTCTTTCCACTGTACGCCTTGTGGCAGTCTCTGGACATATGGAGAGTCTATGGACCTATGTTGCCGTATACTACATTTGGCATATCTTCAGAGTTATTAACGGGCAAGTACCTTTCAAAAATGATGTCGCTTAATGTTCTACCGTCTTGCGGTAGACTAAGCCCCATGAGGTTGAGGTACGTGGGATATGAACGGTAGCATAATCACAGGTCCACACCAACTGGTCATCGTTAAGGTTGAACTGGGGTGCAAAATTTCTTCGATAAAGATCCTCCTTCGGTAACTATTCCTTAGGAACGCTTGGTGAAGATGTTGGATTTCTGCGTTTAGGGCCGAAATGTTATTGCAGGTCTCTTGGGTTCGTAAACGCATGTTTTTCACAGCGTTCCTGAGTAATCCAGGAGGGACGCATGATGCCGGGTGTAGGTATCGATTAGAGTGTACTGGTTTCCGATATACAGAAACCTCAGATTTAAGCGTTGGAGTCCGCTTCACCAGCGCATTCAGAAAGGATAGTGAATGGATAACTTCCACTTCAGTAG